TTAAAATATTTTAATCCCACCACTGGAAACATCCCATCTCCACAGTGAGCATTATGGAAGTATACAGAATTAGTGCCAAGATATAATATTCTGCATACATGATCAGGCAACACTCACCACCAGGTGGGATCCTGAAATATGGTGTATATCAACGAATTAATGTAAAAAAGAATAATATGTCGAAGACACAGTTATCTTGTGCAGATAAAGAGTGACAAATGTATTGGAAGTTGTCCACATACCAGCCTGAATAATCTCCTCCAAAAGATGGAGGTTGCGAGCAGTTAAAGATATGGTTAGATGACAAATTTGGGGGAAAGAAACATGATACAGATGGCAACCATCCATGTACATGTCAGAATAAGCCAGTTGTATAAGTTGATGAACCCAACAAGTGAGCATAACAGGTGAAAAGATCCCGAGAAATAGTTAAATTCCATGGAACAAAGAGACAAGAATGAGAACCACAAAAGGAGGCAGTAGAACATAACAGGTAACGAATTGGACAAAATAAACAATCAGGAACAGATGGGAAGAAAATGTTACAGAAATAGGAGAAAAAGGTACAATAACCTTCCAGGCCACTCATTGTTCTGGGAGAGAAGGCCTGATCCACATAATGGATAATATTTGAGGAATGGTAAAGGATGTGGGAAATATTAATGGCATAAATATCAGAATGACGATGACTGCATGACAGGAGGGGAAGGAAATACGTCTTAAGGGGAAAATTGTACAAGGATCACATTGCAATGGATTAAAAGGGAGAATCAGACAGGCCATGAAAGACAACATTGAGATCCCAAACCAGCAACACAAAGGAATGTGGAGGATGGACCAGATAAAAGGACTGGAAAAGGAGGGAAATTACTGGGGAAAAGAAGGCATTCCAAAAGTGGGAGAAAGGAAGGTGTTCACCAGGGCAGCCCTAAAAGAACAACAATTGAAACAGACAAACCCTGAACAAACAACCAGATGAAGGACTGGAACAGGTATGAAACAGAAGGACAGAATGGTTGGAAGCCATAGCTAATAAACCAAAGTTTGAAGTAAGAACAAAGCCTCTGGTACACACACACAAGAAGGAAGGGCAATTGGTACAAATGAGGAAAGATACTACACGAGGGGCAAATCCCAGAGATGAGGCACAGGACTGGACAAAAGTCGCATGTGAAACAGGAGTGTTGTGACATTGGAATGAAAAATAACCAACTTGTTTTTTGGAGGAGCAATCAGGATAGAGGTAACAACAGGGGATGTAGCTCTAGTAAAGGCCAGAGCAGAGAGAACCATGTCTGAGCCACCCAATATACAGCAACCAGTAGAAAACAACAAGGAGTGATCTGGATAAGGAAAAGACCCAGGAGACGAGTCTGATTGGAAGGTAGGCATATAGGTGAAGACCCCTCCAATCTTGACTGAAAGCATCCACCCCCAGAGTTAAGGGGTGAGGAACTGGAGCCGAAAAAGGAAGAAAGATTGGCATTCCAGGGAGTGGAAAATGCATATGTATGGAGAGTTCCCAGTTGAGAACACACCCACAGAAAAACCTGAGGATGAAGGTACCACTCTGTGGGGAGAACCTGGTTGGGATATGATAAGCATCAGGCCACAAGATTCATAACACTGGGAACATGACATGCCAGAACAGTCATGTCATAGTCATTGGACTAGTACAGGAGATCAAGAGTCTGAAAACAGGGATATCTAGACTTGGTTTCCCCTTGTTTGGTAATATAGTTGACAACATGGAATTGTCAGAATAAATCATAACCACCTACCCCTTCAGGAATGGGAAAACAATGGTACAGAGCCCAATGAACTACGAAAGGTTCCATGATGTGGAAATGGAAAGTAGCCTCCTAGACTGACTACCAACCCCCGAAATCTTTAGGGAATCTGGAAAAGCCCCAAGTCCAAGATGGAAGCATCTGTAAACAGATGAGACTCAGTACAAAACAGAGGAATAGGAAACCCCACTGTGGTCAAGTCCCTTTTGAGCCACCAAGCAAGGTCAGCTCTGATCCCAGGTGGAATGGAGATGGTATGAGCCAAGAGATCTTGGGGCAAAAAACATCCAATGAAGGAAATGAGAGCTTGCAAGGAAACCCACAACCCCAAAAGAGAGAGAACCTCTCGTGCAGAGAGAGAAGGAGAAGGTAGGGCCTTTGTGACTTCCCAAGAGCCAAGATGTGAAGTGAAGAAAAACCCAAATGAATAAGATACTGTGAGGAGAATTAAAGGGCTTCTCCAACCAGATGAGAAACCCCACCTGAGTGGGTGTCAGTGAGTGACAGGGCATGGGAAGAAGTGAGCATAAGCCAGTTGTCCATGTAATAGGGAGTCTGAAAACCTAGTGACTGAAGATGATGTGCAAAAGAGCATATCACTCGACAAGACACATGTGATGCTAAAGAAAGACTGAATGGCAGTGCGCAGAACTGGAAGACAGAACCCTCATGGATGAACTAAAGAAAAACAACGTGACACTGGAGCAAAAACCGCACTGATGAGAGAGGTAGGACTCCTGAGTGAAGCAAGGTGTCTCCATATAAGAATACAGCCAAGAAAGAGCTATGATGGGACTCTAATCTCCCGTGTGTTTGGAGACAACAAATATAAACAGAATTAAAATCCTGGTTGAGTGGCCACCACCCATTCGATAGCTCCTTTGTGTAGTAGGTCTCAAACAGACTTGGCAAAATGACAGGATAAGGTACAAACCTTAAAAGGAGGGAAGAAAATCTGGGAAGTAAATAGAGGGAGAGCAAAATGTTGTGAAGAGTAGCCTCTAAGACTCATAAATTAAACATAATGAAAGTAATAATTACTAACAAACTAACAAAATGTAGAAACATGTAAAGTCTACATAGTACATAAACATAACAAACCTGAAAAACTATGAAATTCGACCTAAAACAGAAAACAATAAGTGACACCTAAAGTACAAAACAACTAAAGGAACTTAGAAGATAAATGACCTATAAATATTAAACATATAAGTCCACACAAAGAAACTATAAGACAAAGGACCTAAATAAAATATACCCTAAAGAACATGAGAATAAAAAGGTAGCCAGTTAACAATATCAAAGTTTAACTCAAATCTAATCCCCAATCACATATGACTAGTAGTAAAGAAAAATCAAACAAAAGCAAAGGAATATACAAACTCCAAACACAAATTTAAATTAAATTAACCCAGATGGTAAAATAAGTATAAAAATCTAACTTACCCAATATTGAGCAGAGAAGACATGAATGACCTAAATTATTGAGTATGGAAGTTAGGTCCTTCCACACAAGCTCACATAAAGTCACTTAACAAGGGCATACCAAGGGGAAGTGAGAAATATACACTGAAAAACTTACCACTGATCTCCTTGGAAAAGAACAATACCTAACCCAGAAGATTATGCTGAGGCATGGTAACAGGTGGAAAGTGCCATAGAAAGACAGTTTCCACACAGTAGTTATATCACTCTTCACAAAAAAGTTAACATGAAAGGACAAAAATTATCAGCAAAATGTAAGACACAAATTTCCCACGAACTAAAGCTTGTGTTTTCCCAGCAGACATCATTGACTCTGAAACATGGGGGACTAGTATTCTACTCATGGCAGGAATTTCATCATCCACCATAATAAATCGAATTTATATCAACAAAGTAGAATTCAGAAACAGAAACATTTCTAAAAGTAGAAACAATGGAAATCAACCCCAAAAAGTCGAAGCTTGAAGTTGAAACTGATATAAATTTGTGATCGAGCACATTCGAAATCTTGTAGAATGCCAATAGAGAAAGTGAAAATTGTGTTGCAATGATAGAGAGCTACCTGTGCTAGTATAGGTGGCACAGTATGAATGGTGAAGGGTAGTTATATGATCAGCACATGTTGCTGCAATGACACAAAAATGAAGGGATAAAAAAGACTGGTGCACTGTTGAAAATTTTAGCAATGCTAAGAGGACAAATCAATTTGAGATAGCTTTGGGTGAGAAAAGTAATACTGTTTCAGAAAAATGCCAAAATGAACTCTGCATACTATCTGACAACATTCTGACACTACTACACTGTTAGGAAATACCATAACTGTACATAATGTGTGTCAATAGAATGTGACTCTATCAAGGCAAAATCATCCAGGTACAGGTGTCTACATCAAAAGAACATATCCTCAACATGATGGAAGTAAAAATGGGAATTTATATTATTCACTTGTACTTTCCATGGACTTTTGTGTTTTTGGATTGTTCAAACAAGCCCTAGGAGATTGTTGCTAACATCGATGAAATATTGCAGAAAGCATATACAATGGAAGAGACAACGTTTACTTTAGTGTATTGTGCAAAAGTCCCCTAATATCGCAACTATGCTTCAGAACAATAAACCATAACCAGGGTCATCACAGAGAATACCTCTGGTAGGTGGAGAAAGAGATAAACATGACAAGGTGATCTTTCTTGTATTGTTACTATAGATTGTGAACACACGTCTGTATGTCCAACTTTTCTTTAAAACGAAAATTTTATTCTTCACAACTACTTATAAGGTCTATGAGATTTTTAATTTTGATAGTGGTCACTAATTTTCAATAAAATCAAAGTTTAATGAAATAAAACTACTATAATATTATATGTATTAGTTGTACCATGTCAAACACAATTAAGCACACTATTTTTCTTTGTAACCAGAAAAGCTATGTACTGTTGAAATACAATATCCAATTAGGAAACTTGCTTATTTAGCAGGTCAATTTGAGTAAATCTGAATCAAAGCCACATTTGTTAATTTATCTATTTGAGAAAAGAAAAAACTAAAAACTTGATTCAAAACTACATAATCATACACATTACTAATGGTTGAAAAATATTTTTTATTCATACTTGTTTCTCCTGAACTGCAGTATCATACAATGCTTGAGCTTTGTCCAGTTCCTTCTGTTTCTCATCCAACACAGCTTGTGCACTTGCAAGTTCACTATTTGCAACTTCTAACTGAGCTTCTTGCACAGCAAGATTGGCCTATTGAGAGCATGTGGATTTTACTTTTCAAAAAATATTATTTATTGCATCTATTTAAATGACAACACAGAAGTTCATTACATAGCACAAATGCATTCTTATTACAGAAGTACATTCTTTAAAAATGCACACTTTTACTAATAAAGAAAAACATTCTATTATTTGTTTGAAAAGTACATGCACACAAAATCCTTGAAAAAGTTTCAAACATACCTTCAAAGGTAAAACTTGCTTGTTAATCCCATAAAAGAAAGCCATAGCTTGAGTCCAGGAAAGCAAACCTGCTACATTTCCACAGACTTTTTTCACAGTTTCAATATTATAATCTTCCATTTCTAAGTAAGGAGTCATAAATTCTACAGTTTCTTCATTAATAGTATCTTTTGGAAAGTTTTGAAGCTGTGACAAGAATTGAGTATTGCTCATAACCTAAGAAAAAGGTATTGAAATATTTGAAGTTTATTATAGTTATTGTTGAGTTTAATAACACCATAATTGAGATAATAAAGACTTCGACTGAATATTATAGGCAACTCATACACTTCTTTCAAATTCTAAATAGTACTACTGTTAAGGTTTGACAAAGATGTGTAAATTAACTAATACTAAATTTGAAATTAAGTAAGAAAATTGTTTTTCTTGTTTATTTTTCTGTATAATTATGAATATTAGTACATATACATGTAAGCAAATGACTGCATGTTTATTAAAAACAACACGGAAACTATCAGTAACTTTGTTCATTATTCTTTTCTGTTTTTGTATAAGTGCAATGGACATTATATAATTTTGGGTTAAACAAACACCCATACAATTGTTATATTACATGATGCTTTATGCCTGCATAAGTATTTATGTTCATAAACGACTTGTACAAAAATTATCTCTGTAGATGTGGGGGATAAGTTAGCTAATTGAATAGAAAAGTGGCTGGATGTAAGAAAGCAGAGAATTGTTATAAACGGAGTTCAGGCAAACTGGATTAATGTCACGAGTGGGATACCTCAGGGCTCAGTCTTAGGACCTTTGCTCTTTTTGATTTACATCAATGACATAGATGAAGGAATGGTCAATGAATTACTTAAATTTGCTGATGATATTAAGGTCTTGGATGTTGCTAGCTGTGAATAGAATGCTGTTGCTTTACAAAAGGATAGATCATTCAGTGAGTTGGGCAAATAAATGGCAGATGGGTTTCAATTATAATTAATGCAAGATAATGCATGTGGATTGTCATAATTTAAATTATACGTATAATTTGGATGGGAATAACCTTAACAGTGTTATGAAAGAAAAAGGATCTTGGTGTAATGGTTGATCAATCTGTTGGCTGCATTTTTGAAATACAAATGAAATACTTTGAAAAATATAGTATACCTTTTCATGACTAGTTGCTTTAAGTTGTAAATATATATATATTGATTACTTGTTTATTTATGTTACAGCAAAGCCAAATTGGGCTATCCCTTGTGCACACTATTGGAATTGATCTCAGATTTTAGTGTTGTAGGTCCATAAATTTACTTTCCTATTGGGAGAATTAGATATTGATTTTTAAATAACAAGAGCTAAGTAGAAGTTCATTAACATCCAGGTATCTTCTTCCAAATAAGAAAATAAATAACAACAAAATTTCATTATCATGATTAAATATATTAAAAAACATAACTGGGGCATATAATAACAACATCTAAATCCTTAAAGCAATTATGGAAAATATATTACAACAGATTTATTGGGTGAAAATCTCAACTTTATAAGAGAGATTAGAGTCACAGAACAAGCAACATGTCTATTTGTAATTTATAAGAGTTATAGGTTAACAATATCCTATAAATAATTGACACGTTTTAGAATTTTTACATTTTTCATTTACAATATCATAAGTTGATATTAGTTATTACATATTTTTCATTACACACACTTAATATTACCTATTTTGATAATTATTTCATATTGTCAAACAATTTATTTTGTAGTCTTTTTCAATTCACATTAACTGCATCTCATTTTCTAATAGCTATACTTATACTGCTTTTGTTCTTTATACCTTTAGTTCCATTGCTGATGATGGCATTTATTTATTCCAAAATATATACCGACTGTGTAAATAATATTGTTCATTTATAATCTTTTCAATAAGAAATATACATGTTGTTTGCCCAGCCTGTGGTTTTATTCTTTTCTTGGAAAACACATTATAACAAAACTTCCAGATTTGCTAAGGCTAAAATGGAACAATATATACACTTTTGTAACTTCAGCAAGTTGATAATACTGGAATCTAGGTTAATACAATATAATTAAAAATTAATAATATTTATTAAGTAATTCTGTGTATAACAGATACCCATAACAGGTAAAAAATTAAAAGGAAATATAATTTTATGAAACCTTGAGTGATTCCACCCAAGATGGTTTAGGACAAGGTTTCTCAGGGTCTGGAGCGTTTATATCAAGTTTCTTTTGGAACAACAATAGTACACAATCCATAACTCTCATGATGAGGTGAGGTGGTTTTCCAAGCTTTCTAACAGTGGATATATCAGCAGCTTTGATTGTCTACCAATGAAGATAATCAAAATGGACTTAAACACTTGGGAACAAAATAACAAACTGTCTTATGAATAAACTATATTTGTGATATATAAAATATTTAGGTCACTAAAATTATTTCAAATGTTTAATAAATCTCTCTCTCTATAAATATATATATAGAAAACAGAAGATTTAACATGCTTCAGAAAAATAACATGAATTGGATGGCACAGTAATGCTTCTAGGACCAAAATGGAAAATTATCTATATTATTCCCAGTAAGACATTTGGAAAAATCAAACATTACAGTAATAAGTACATTGCATCACAGATACACTGACAGTCGGTCTAGCCCGACATATAAAAGTAAAAACTACTTGATAATAGTAAATGCTCAACTGGTAGTGAAACGTGCAGCTAAATGATAAAAAATATTATATTATTTGAATAGTTTCCATTCTGAGTTTATTTACTGATTATAAAGATTAGTTCATTATAAGTTACAGCTTTAACAGTAAGGAAAAATATTTTTAAACAGATACAGAGTTTCAGTCACTGGTTTGATCATTCTCATGTACAGAAGGTTTTAGTATTTAAATTAATAGTTAACAATCTAGCAATATATTTAAATTTTGGAATTGATAGTGGTTATTTGTGCATGTGCATATCAATCCATATGAATTGACAGATTATTTTCTATGGACAAACAGAAAAAAATAAACAAAAATTGAATAAATAAGAAAATGTGAAAATCTTCTTAACATGTATTTAATTTTCATTCCAAGGGTCAATATTATTCTAGTTATGTTAAGATTATATTTATGTGCTAGTCTTTTTCTAATTTCTGCTAGAGGATTGTTAATATTTTCTATATGTAGGATAGTGGAAGTGATTAGGTTTCCTTTGTTTTGTGGAGTGTTTTTTTAATTTGTTTGTTTATTAAACATGTCTTATCTGTTTTTTAAATTCTTTAATAGTTTCTGTAACTACTTTAGTAGAGAATTGATTTATGTCAGCAAAGCATTGAGTTAAATGTACAACTTTTTCTTTACTTAAAAGAACCGTTAATCCTCCCCTCTCTTTATTTTCAGTACTCTATCCCTATTAAATAACCTATAACCCTGTATTTCAAAGTCATAATTTTCCTAAATGAACATGTATTTCTGATAGGTACTTCATTCACAAGATTAGCTTTTCTCATTTTGTGCTGCCCTCTATATAAGAACTTTCTTCAGAAATGCATGCCACAAGCCTTCATTCTTCCTCTGTTGGAATCCAAAGTTCCAACAGGACTCTCATGCAAATCATTATGCATCACCTTCCACCAATAGGAGAGCACTACTATCATGTGACGCATTTGACTCCCTCTACATCCCACTACCAAACTATCACTTTGAAGTTTGGCAGATGATGCGAGCACCTGAAGATTGTGGGGAGGATGGATGGAAAGTGTGAGTAGAGGGAAGTACCTATTGGAAATACATTTTCATTTAGGGAAATTATAACTTCCGATAAGGTACTCTCCCTCTGCTCACAAGATTAGCTTGAATCCCACATTGAAATGGTGGAGGGACCAGTGCGAGGGAAGCACAGGTGTATCTTCTGGAACCATCCAGAGGACACCCACGATATGAGAGGAACAGATCACATGATCTGAGGAGGGGTACGGCACCACATCTGAGCCAGGTATCTCTTTGCCAGGAACATCGACATGATCAATAGGATCAGACATAGCGGAACATTAAAGGGAGCACATCTGCGTGGGAGAAGATAGTTTAGCAATGTCATCTTAAACAGAAATCAGCATCACTCAACCCACGATGAAAAGTGGGCAAGTGAGGATGTCATGGTGTAGAGTGACCAGGGTGCAATGGACCATACTCAGTAAGTCAACTACATCTAAAACCTCACTCGGTGGGTACCGACATCCTTGCGAGGGTAGGATGAGGATCATATCATCTTCACCTCAAGTCCCAGAGTCAAGAGAGAACTAACATCTGACTCCAGGAACTCACAGGGTAAACTAATGCCAGGGATATGGCAATGTGTCATCTGGAATCCAAGGGAAGTCCATTGCATGCAATCAACCTCTACAACTGTGAAACCAGTCCAAAATGACCCCAGGTTGGTAACAACCTCATCACCCAATGACAGAAGCAGAAACAGGCCATATAGACTCTCTGCAACCCACAATGCAACACAAGTTGAGAGGGGAAGATGGACAACCCGAAACCTGTGTGAGGATTTATGTGGTTGGTTCACTTGATCTACAAAACCACATTTGCTGGGTACCAACATCCATGTGAGGGTAGGAAGAGGGCACCCAATCAGAGGGGTTAACTGCATTTGGGCATCTCAACTCCAAGAGATAGTCACTCATCCTACACTGGCAGAACACCACCACCCTACTCTGACTGAATGGTTAGAGCCATCTTTGTGGAACCCATCCAGCTAATTGCCTCCATGGTCAACTATCCTAGTGGCTTGGAACTGGTAAAAAAAACACCGTGCTCCACTGGAAGAAAGGTGGGAAAGTTCAGTGGACAGTGCAATGGGTGATCACAAAACCCTATTTTGAAAAGCAGACCACACCTATTTATGCAATCTAGGAATGGCAGGGATGGGCAGCAATCCTCTTCTGCTTTACCCATGTCATCCATGGGTGGTACAGTCCAGGATGGGCATATTATGACGCATTTATCACGAGAAATTTACACTCTAGTGATCTTGTGAAACACCCCACTCCAAGGGTGAGTGTACATAGACATGGAAAATGTATAAGAATCAACATGACTTACAGTGCAGATCTGATATCAAGATGTCTGCAAATGGTTATAGCCATCTAAGTGGAACCCATTTCAAGTACAGACAGAATACCTGGTGAGGCACCATTCACACAGAACAGGATCCAAAGTGAAGCTGAAGCAGGGGCCTCTGAAAGAAAAGAAAGCATTAGTGAGGGCTTACCCCATGTTCACCTAAGTCTGTAGAATATCCACATGCAGCAGGCAATACCTCAAGGAAGCAGGAAGAGTGATGTAGTATAGGTAGTGGGAGATGAATGTGTGTGGAGTTGTCCACATGCCCGATTGTAGAATCTCTTCCAATGGCTGACACAGATGAGAGGCAAAGGAGAAGGTAAGGTGACAGATTTAATGTGAGGAAATGTGAAAGCGATCATGCTAAAGAAGACAAGGAGGAATAGGCCAACTGGATCAAACACCGAACCTAACTGATCACGGTAAACACGAAAAGATCATGGGAAGAGGGTGGTTGCCAAGGGATAAAGAGGCGGGAATGAAGACCCCAGAAGGAAGCCATGTGAGCAATAGAACAACAGAGGGCACAAACAGGACAGAGGAATCTATCCAGATGAGGACGAGGGTAGAGATAAGATATAGAGGATAGGTAGATAGGTGGAAAAAACAGAACTTATCTTATCAAGCCGTAGAGGTCTTAGGAAGGAAAGCATGATCCGGATAAATGATAAGTTAGGAGGAGTGGTACAAAGTCCCGGTAACACTGAGGGCAAAAATATCTGACCTACGATGCCTGCAGGCCAGGAGAAGGAGGAAATACTCCTTCAAAGACTGGTAAAACAGGGAAATATAGACAGAGGTTTGAATGGAGGTAAAGTGAGGACATGAAGGACCACATCAGTGTCCCAGTCAGGGAGTGATTGATACCTTCGTGGCCAATGGAGATGGAAATGGCAAGGGAAGCAAAGACCCTGTGGAAGCAGTAAAAACGTAATGTATGGGATAATGTCACCCCAAACCCCTAAAACCAAGGAGACCAAAGAACCCCTATCAAAGAGCTTCATGAGAAACTTTAAGATACAGGCAACCATTAGTTGAGATGCCTGGAAACCCCGAGTCAATGCCCTGGAACAATAAGTGCTCCATTTGTGATGATAGATGGCTAAAGAAGAAGAGCAAATGGAATGGGCTAAATGTGAAGCTATTCTGTGAGAGAAACTGTAATTCCTTGCCAAGGATTTGACAAAAGCAAGGTGTGAAGATGTAGGACAGATGGCATGCGATGAAGTGCCAGTGACTGGAGTTGATGGAGCAGGTCAGGATGGAAGGGAAGAGAAAAGGGAGGAACTATCTGCAGGTGGAGCAATCGAGGAAACCAAGGTTGAGCAGGCTAGTAAGGAGTAATCAGAAGGACCATGCATGAAGTGGCATGGATGAGGGAGACTATCCGTTGAAGTAAATGGATGGGAGGGTAAACATAAAAGAACAGATGAGACCAATCCTGGCTGATGAAATTGACAGCCAAGGCTCGATGATGAGGGACCGGGAACTAAAACTGAGGTAATTTGTATTGAGAGTGGTGGCAAAGGCATCGATATAGGGTGTACCAAGATGCAGACAGAGCCACTGAAAAATGGCAGGATGCAGGGACCACTCTGTCGTATAATCTAGATATGGTCGGAAAAGAAGATTGGCTACAAGATTGAAAGCACCTGGTACATGACACACCATCAAATAAATGTGATGTTTGTGAGCCCCCAAAAAAGAAGATCCATAGTGCAAAACCTAGGGATCTGGACCTGGTGCCACTGGTGATTGTTGGAATGGATCATAACCAGCCAGTGGCTGGCAAGAAAAATAAACTGATCCAAAGCTCGATAAATAGCAAGGATTTTGAGAAGAGAACTCTCATCCACAGACCAATGACCCAAAACCTAGGCACCCCAGCCCTGAAGGGATGCATCCATGAAGAGATGTAAATCTGGCCATGGAGGAGAAAGTGAGACCCCCTGCCAACATGTGAGCTCTGTTCAACCACTAATGGAGATTGTCTACAAGGGATGAGGGAAGGGATATAGAAGTATCTAAGGGATCCCAGGCAAGAATCTATTGATCATATGAAGGAAACATTGAAGAAATTGCATATGGTCCATGCCCAGGGATATGAGAGAAGTCATGGAGGGACACATCTTGAAAAGTGAGAACCTCGCAAGCTGTAAGTGAGGGAACAGACAGGGCTTTCTGAATGGCCTGTTCCATAGAATGGAGCCACAAAGGAAAAGGATGGGCTCGATAGAGATGGTTGTTGAAGAAAACACCCACATGGATAAGATATTGGGTAGGTCAAAAGAAATACTTCTCCAATGTGACCAACCATCCCATCTGCATAGCTTTGGCCAGGAGCTAACGAGTGTGAAAGGCTGATTCCTGTTTGGAATGAGCAAGAAGAAGCCAGTCATCCAAATAAAAATGTAAGTGCAATGGTATGAATATGTTGAGCAAATGAGCAGACCACACATATGGTGCTGAGACAAGGCTGAAAGGTAAGGCACAATACTGGTACACAACCCCCAAAAAACAAAGATATGGATGGGAATGCTCCACCACAGGAATGTGTAGGTAAGCACTGAAAATGTCCACTTTGGTCATCCAAAGACCTTGAGAAAATGCCTACCAAAGAGAAAGGTATATCTCCAGGGAAAAGTGAGGAGTGTGAAAATACTGATTGAGATGGGATAAATCGATGACAGTACACCAGTCCCTGGTCTCTTGGGAACCACAAACAGGTGGAAGAAAAACTCCTGTGAACCTGATGAGCTGGTTCGAAAGCCTGTTGTGTGATGAGGTCCCAAACCCCCGCTGATAAGAGAACTCTGGATAATGGAGGAAGGGAGAGAAAGTGGATAAAAATCCCTCCAAGAGCACCTTGTGAACCCAGACTTTGGCGACAGAAGGTCCCCACAGATGAACAAAATTTAACAGACAAGCCTCCACTGGGCCCGAACAGACAACATAGTCACTGGTACTGCTGCTGGCGAATCATGTAACATCGAGTAAATGGTCAAACTATGGTACTGCAGGAGGGTGCGATAGGAAGACTTAGGGAATGTCGAGAGACAGAATTCCGTGCCACACTCGGCCCTGACTGCAACAAACGAGTTACCAAATGAGTAAGGGTAGAATTTCGATGGGCCGAGGCCATCTGCAACTCCAAAGACTGAGGAACCAAGTCAAACACATAATGCTGCAAAAACAGCGCCATGCAGAAGTCCCTCAAATAAGGAGCCTGGATGTGGGTCCGCACCAAAACCGCATCACGGCCCAAGAGGTCCCAACAACAAACAAACAACATTTGAAGCATGAGAGCTGAAGACGACAGACAAGCCAACATAGAAGTAAGGATGAAGAGAATGTCAGCAGAAAAAACCCTCAGAATTCCTGTAAATAACCTCTTTCGCTCCCCAAACAGGTAGAACTGACCTAAACAATTGTTGGTCGAGAAAAGGTAAGTCAGCCCAATGATAAGCAAGGGCAGAGTGATCCAAAGTCCATGGGGTACGAGGCATACTAATGCCCTCCCCCCAGTTGAGAGGCAAATCGGTCTACATGAACCCTAATATTCATGGATGGGGGAAAGAGTAAATAGCGTCAAGAAGTTTCATGTGAGAGGGAAAGACTAGAGCCATAGGAAACAAGTGTAAGAGACAAAACATCATATACTTAAGATAAAGTCTAAAAAGACTGATGAACTGAATCATCAGGTAGTGAACAGAAAGGTGCGGTAAACTTCAGGTGGGAGACAAACGATCAAAATTGTTAACAGCCAGGCCTGGCCCGAAAGGCTTAGGAGGAAGTGGGGCAGAAGTAGGTGAGAGAGGTAGGCTCATATATTGCTCAATCTCCCAGCGAATGAGCGACAATATACCCCCTACAGGTCGCCCCTGCCCTTGGCTGAAAATATGGCATCAGACATTGGTGAAGCACCTGAAGTTGTGACTGTAAATTCGGAATTCATAAGCGGGAAACACGAGGAAGTAATGCTTTATTAAAATATTAACTTCACAACTGAGAAGTGTTGGAAATAAAGTTAAGAAAAAAAAAATAAAAAATAAACCACTTTAAGGTAAATAAATAATGTACAAAAGAATGTCTGAACTCGACAGCTGCCAAACGAGAAATGATAGTTTGGTAATGGTATGTAGAGGGAGTCACATGCATCACATGATGATCTGCATGAGAGATGCGTTGGAACTTTGGATTCCTACAGAGGGAGGATGAAGGTTGGTGGCATGTATTTCTGAAAAATGTTTGCATATAGAGGGATGCACAAAACAAGAAAAGCTAATCTTGTAATTACAGAGTTCCTTATTTGAAGAATCTCCTGTCACCAAAATTGTCTACATTTAACCAGATTTCCATTAATCCCATTACATCAAACTCTTTCATTCTGGCTAGTGCTCTAAAATCAAATATTCTATTTCTTATACTTTTAGCATACTAGTAAAACTTCTTCTGCAGTTTGTTCCTACACAATAATTTTCTCTACATCTTACTTTTCCTTCAGTATTCTGGCCTTTACAGTTGAGTTAATAGCCCTTGCAAAAAAATCAGTCTTTACTCTATTTGAATATAAACCATCCATTCTAAAATGTTCCCTATCCCACTGAACTGATCCCAAAAATGCAAACACTTAACCTTCTTGTTTTTACATATTAAACTAAGCCTATCAATCGGCCAGAGTGACATACTTATAATTTCATCTTCACAGTTAAGTCTTGGTAGTATCCATGACAAAATTGTGTTATTATGGCCCTTCTTTAAATGCCTTTATCAATCCCTTGTAGTTATCAAATAGTTCCTCTAGCCTATCATTCCTTAAACCATCAGCATATTTGTGCTACAAAGACTGCATCACTGCTAGAACCCTTTACTTAAAATCTGATCTAGATAGCATAATCTAATTCTTTTCTAATATTTACCTCACAGACTATTTATTCTATCCATGTGTCATACTAAAGAATCACCCATAATTATAACCTTCTTATTTTTTCATTCCCAACTTTTTTTTCCCTATTTGTTTTCCTTCCCTCTATTAGTTCCTCATCTGCACAAGCTAAAGGTTTAGAGGTTATTTTATTACAAAAATTAAAATGCCATTGAATATAATAAAAACATTGCATTGAAACAGAAAGAAGTATACAAAATTTAGCAAGTAATATCATGAAATATCCTTTCAAATTGTGCAGAGCAATCTCTATATGATCATCATATACAAAAAAAACCTTCAAAGCATTCTCTGCTTCTTCAAGAGCAGGTTTTGCAGCTTCTAACTTTTCTTCTGCAACTAATTTGTCAGCTGATATCTCATCCACAATGCCCTGGGCTTTATCTTTTACCTTCTGAACCTCATTCTTTACTTTCTCAGCAGCTTGTGCACTCATTGTAACTTTCTGAAGGACCTAGAAACAAAGATCCACAGTAATGAAGGATTACCTTAAATATTAAAATTGTAAAGGTTTCCCACTGCAAACAAAACTTTTAAAAAACAAATTTAAATATATTACAAACTTAGATTAATGTGATTAATATAAACCATCATAAAATATAATGTTCTCTGAAGCCCGTTTCTTATTGAGTTGCTTTATCTATATATTAGATGGCCAAACTTTTAAATGTTTTCTTCTCTTATGTTTTTCAAGAGAAGATATTAGAAACATTCTTGACCTTATTCATTCTGTGAGAAATATTAGAATTGACCTGAATTATGTAGATATCAATGTCTTGGTGGAAAGAAAAAATACTGAAGATTAAAAATACATAACACACCAGGACCAGACATTTACTGTGCATGTCACGAGGTTTTATTGACTTACATTCAAAATTTTATTAAACTACTTTTTATTTATTTTATACCAATTACTATAGCATAAAACCTTAGCTAATAATCCATATTATAATAGTATATAAGGTTTAAGTTCTTAACTTTATAAGGCAATATTTTGAAAAATCCTGAATATCCACTAGAAATATATACCCCTCTGGTAGCCACAATAATACACAAAATGAGAAAAACTTAGAAGCTTCGAGTAGGAGTATATCAATATTACAAGAGCCTAGTACAACAATTTAACTGCATACACAACATATGACTTGTACAGTTACATAACAAAACTTGTCACAACTATCACTTTTATAATAATCAACTTTTAACGCTTTTCTTAGGAAACTGAATAATCATTAAATATGAAATAAATAAATATGCTAAATAATAACTTATACTAAACAGCCTTGTATATACAATAATAAGCTCCTCTTCAAGAAAAGTATTTATAATATTTGTTTATATTATATACAAAGACTGTTTTCAGTTCAAACACCAAGTCTCTGCATGTCATCTGCACCAATATTTGCAGTTCCCTTGTTGATCTCTCTTTGCAAAGGGCATCTGGTAGGGTTTCACCTTGAAAGGATTCCTTGTCTTCATCTTGATCTTGTGTTGCTTAAGGTCTGTGAAGACATCTGCATACTGGCACAGTTGCTCCTTTAGGTCTTTCTTCTGCTTGCCAGTTAATTCTACACTTATGTTAATGTCTTGGTTTGTCTCATCTCTACCCAATTGTATTAGGCCTAGTAGGTCCGATGGATGAATTGTAAAAAACATCATGAGGGTGGGTTAATGAGTATATATAAAAGGGCATCTGACATGGCAACTGTTGTCACCCGCAGACTAAGTGATAATGACCAGTAGAGAGGAAAGAAATTCTCCATCCAGAACCATGAAATGACCAGAACCAATTTAGAGATGATAGGTCAATAACCAAACACCAGGCCCAGGTGTACTTTGGGACTACTATGGGTTGAGAGTAAAAAACTGATAATTGGTATATACTTTCTCAAAAGAGGAGAAACCAGGAAAGGTAATGAGAACTGATGCTATACTACTTCAGCTTGGGTCTCCAATAAAAAAACACCACCACCGATGACTTCAGAGTAAAGAGAAGGAACCTGATGAAGAGCATACTTATAAACATATTGACTACAAGGCAAAAGAGGCAGTTATCTCTCTACGGAAATAAATAGCTAGGCCTAACTTAGAATACTGTATACAGTTTTGTTTTCCATATCATAAAAAGAATACTGAACTATTGGAAATGGTTGAGAGGTTGTTTAAGGTAATGCCAAGAAAAAGAATGTAGTTAATGGGTGTTCAAGGACAGCCTTAAAGGATCAAATGGTCCCTTATTTTCCATATATTAGTCTTTATATTCATCATGGCAAATCAAGGCAATTACAATATATATTAAAAACTTACCATACTGCACAGCGATAGTGTTTATAATCAGATTGACTTCATAATGATAGCAAAAATATTTTTAAATTATGCCTACACAGTACGGTGGTTCTTATTTTTGAAGTTATGTTTACAACACTCTCACCACCTCATTTTGTTCCAATATATAAATAAGTAATTCACACCAAATTTTATCCATATCATAACATTTTTTCATTACAATAATGAAATAATATGCATAAAATATAGTTCTGTTTGGCATATTCTATAAAGCATAATGAGTACAGATAGAAGAATTGATCAATTAATTAATTTTATGCAGTTCTTTATGGTGTTGATTTAGAGTAGTACTATTACATAAAGTTTTAAGGAATTTCACAATTTTTTTTAACTTATCAAGCTGTGTCAAATTCTTTGCAGAAGGAAATACTAGATAATATACTCTATACCTTACTGGCTTTAACTGATGCAACTTCTAGCTCTTTTTCTTTAATTGCAAGTTCATCTTTCAAGATGGCAACAGAAGCAGTGGCCTCTAATAGCTTTTCCAGCCCAGTGTTTATTCGTTCAGCTAGTTCATTGATAAGTTGACGTTTTTCTCTGTATATAGTTTTATAACCATTGATGAAAGACAAGTAGGACTTTGGTGTCACATAAGTTTGGCGTCGAAATCTATGAAAGAAAGAAGTATCAATCAAATAATTAAACTATGTTCTAACCTGAACTAACTTGTTCAGCTATGGCAAAAATGAAGGTAAGTGAACCTAAACTAAACCTGAAAGTTCTTTTGCAATTTACCTAACCATATTTTACACAATTATAAATTGATAAGAACTTTTTTGGACAATATGCATAACCTTGAATAAAAGAGGTCCAAAACTATAACGGAATTAGGATCTATGTCAATATCTTATGAATCTGTCAATGTCTCTTAGCATGTTAAATTTTATAAAAGTACTTTTTAATTTTTAATAACGTGACTATAAGAGAAAGGAAAAAAATCTTTCCAGATGTATATTTTTGTACTCAGGAGATGAGAAAAACCAGAATGGAGATGGTATATAACTTAACTAAATCATTGAAATAGGTGTTAGAAGTTGGTAGGCAGTTATGTGAATGAAAAGATATAGTCAAGCTTCAACAAATCCCTTCGAAATATGCATACTGCAAGTATATGCTCCAACTAGTGATTAAATGGATGGAGAAGTCAGAGATTTTTATGAAGACACCTAAAAGACCCTGAAGAATATGATATTTCATTAGGTAGTTATACCACGAGAGGATTAGAATGTGATTGTTGGAAAATAACAATATGAAGATATATTTGTATGGTAACAACAGAATGATAAAGTATGACATCTGGTTGAATTTTGTGAGCAGAATGACCTTGTTACTCCCAACACATGGTTTAAACACCTAACAGAAGGCTATATACTTGGAAAGGTACCAGCAATAATGTTTATAATCAGATTTACTTCATAATGACAAAAAATATATTTTGAAATTGTGCCTACACAGTAGGGTGTTCCATATATTTGAAGTTATGTTTACAATATATAATTTTGTTCCAATATATAAATAAGTTATTCACACCAAATTATATTCATATTGAATAACATTTAGGGATTGCTCTAGGTAGTTGAAAGTTAACATTTTTTCTTACACTGAGAATATGTTTCTGATATGCACTTATCTTCTCTCAAACAAGGTTATTTCCAGCTTCTATTTGCCCTCTAAGCATTGCTAAAGATTTCTGTGCTCATCACACCAGTCTGAATCCCCAATCAAAATTCATGCTATTTTTGAACATGTGATTACTCTCCATTAATATAATATTGCACCACCTATATTGGTGCAGCTAACTCCCTCAGCTATTCCTACTTAATCATCACTCTCAGGAATTGGGAGGCTCTAAAAGAAGAACACCAGCCATGGGGAGGAAGGGTGGGAAGTGTGTGACAAGAGGTAGATACCCATCAGAAATGGATTTTCAGTGTATGAAAAATATGGTCTTACCTTGGCTCACACAAAGCTAGAATCCCACATTGTAAAGGTGGATGGGCCACTTTAGGTGCACCATATAGAAACTAAGTGGAAAGTAACCACCCAGAATGAATGGGTGTGCATCGAGATGAAAATGAAGCATAATGTGGGGTACTGCACTACTTATGGAACAGGTATACTCTTTGCCCTTGAAATGGGCAGAAAAAAAGGATGTGCACAAATGCACTTTGTTATCAGAGTTGCAAACTATAGTAAAATATAAATAGAATTAGTTATGTAGATGCACAACCTCAACCAGACAGACATAACTCATCCTAAGCATTAGGAGGTTCAGGATCAAAAAAGATAAAAATTAAAATATTGTAACATAGTGACAAGGGGATATGGACCTTTTACCTATACTCACAAACCCCAACCGTAAGTAAATAGTGTGTCTTACTTCAGACAACTGGAATTACTAGGACGAAGTAAGCTTTTGGTTAAAATTAGGCAAACTTCCAAAAGCACCATAGGAGCAAAGAAGTAAAACAAACCAAACCCAGTATTATACAATCATGGCATTGCCTCAATGCAACCATAAGAATGGGGTAATATCTGTAACTGGTATTAAAAGAAGAAATCATAAATCATTCAATTTACTCATAAATCGATCAACATATATCCTGTAATGAGGCCAGGGAACGATCACTCAGCTGTAGGAACAGTGTAAGTATGTTCTGTTGCCGGTATTACAAGCAAGACAATTCCCCTCAAACTCAAAAGCAGGAACAGAGAAAGAACCTCCTGCAACTGGAATTAATGAGAAGAGGGGCCTCTACTGCACACAACTGTAGGAATAAGGTGGTGTCATCTCAAACCTGGTAATATGAGGAAGAACCTGCATAGGATGGACCTGCTCCAATCAACAACTGTCCACCTGGGAAAAAACATCCAGGGAAAATGGAAGGAGAGGAACCAGCTTTGCTCTCTTCTCACTAAGTGTTTAATCATGAGCAACATGTTGGACCACAAGATGAGGTTCTGTCCAGCCAGAGCTGAGTAGCTTCTCTGCTGTTGGTATATATCAAGGCCACACCCAGTCTCCACACAGATCATTTCTGTCATCTGGTGGCCTCTCCTAGAAGTTGACAGGCAAATTTGCACATGAAAACTAATGCCTAACTTAACCACTCCACATATTCTTGTAGATATTCACTCTAAGAGGGAGAGTGAATGTTTGCAGGGAACAAGGTTGTTTGGAAAACAACCCATTGATCTCTACTCAGTTGAATGATATGCTATCATGACATACAGTGTTTGGTCAGAATTAATAAACTTAGCAAGCATACTCTTGAAAGTCTGTATTACATTCTCCACAAAACTATCAGACTGAGGGTGATAAGGTGAAGTGCACATCTTTGCCACACACAACACTTTATATAATTCAGAGAATAGATGACTGTTAAAGTTAGCTCTCTGATCCATATGAATTTTTCAAGTGCTGCAAACTGGGATATCCAGCACTCTATCAAGCAATGCATAAGCCTCGGTCTACCTTATGAAGTAGTCAGTCAGTGGCCACGTATATAAAAAAGTGAATTTGTTCTGTCTATGGGAGTGAACTAGCTATATTCAGGACTATTTTCTTTAGGGGAAAACCAACAATTCTCTTCTTGAGCTTATCCTGTTTAGGTCAGTTTTTTTCTCTGGCTGACACACTGTATACTTTGACATCAGCACTGAGCACCTTGATTCAAATGCAGCTAGTAGAACTGCTGACAAAAATTGGCACAAGTAAGGATAACACAATGGTGTACTACTGTCCATGTTTAACACAAAGTCTGGAGAATCTTGTGCCTTAAAGTATTGAGAACAACTAGCTGTAACACAGGCTGAGAAACACAGCTTGATGACTTATAACCACAGTACAGCACACCTCCAATACTTGTAACTGCTTGTACAGGCATAGGTTTCACACATCCATACTACATTCCTCAATCTGAGTTTTCCAAGCTTTACAGTGCTTCAAGGTAAGGAGAATCCACACTAGATTTAAATCATCCACTTGCTTTTACACAATATTAATCATTGCAATCACCCACCAGTGGAATCTCTTATTGTATGGCTTGTTAATTGTTGCAACCATCCACTAATGGAGTCTCAATGTATGGCTTGTCGTCACTATAGCAGAAATCATCTGAACTACCACATGGTGTCCAGGATCAGGACATTTAATAGAAACTACTGGTCTACTTCTTATATATATATATATATATATATATATACACTATAAGCGTAAGGTGGGATCCCCAAATATTAACAAATTTAGGTTAGTGTACTCCAAATCTGCAGATGCTGCATTTGTTTATGCTGTAAGCTATTTGGTGAAGATAAGAGGTTGTTTATGCAAGACCTATCTAACTAAAAACGTTAGCACAAAGACTGTCTCGACACAGAGCTAACCAATCACACATGGAGGATTATTACAAGTAGAAACATCTAGACATACAGATACAGAGCAAAACTACAATAGACAGAAGTTTTCAATAAAAGCTAAGTAAGAAGAAAGAATAATGGCATGCTGTGCTTCATACAATACCAGATCGTATTTCATACTCAGCCTAACAAAATTTAGCCTTCTGTGGTTCAGTATGCCACTTGTACACTTAACAATAGAAATTGTTTAAATTGCCAAAAGTGTTATCCAAATATGACCCTTTCATAGCTGATCATTAAAATGTGTCTAGCAACACATCAATGTTCATTATTTAAGGATAGCCCAAACAAATATTTGAAGCTGTTAGGTAAAATTGTAACTGGAAGAATTTAGGACAAGCTTGTTATTACAGTGTGTGTAAATGGATTGCCCTCCAGATATTTTTCACAAGGAGTGATTATCAATACTGATTCAATATGTTACAATTACTGAAAACCAAGATCAAGTGCAGGAGAGCTTTCTCAAATTTCTCTATGTTGAAAATACAAAAGAAATGTCTTTGGCTGACTTGCTGCTAAACTGTCTTACTCAACATAAAATAAAAATTGAAGACTTAAATGAGCAGTGTCACAACAACAGGGTGGACACGAGAGGAATCCATCAAGGAGTTCAAGGAAAAATATGATAGATCAGTGAATGCATCTTGGTGTCCCCATAACTAGAATCTTGCCTTGGAACATCCAGCAGAATTATTCATAGAAGAAAAACCTTCTTTGGAGTATTTCAGTATTTATAAAAAGATCTTTTCAAGGAAGTTCTTATTTAAATGAGTGGTGTAAATTTGGTTTCAAAAATGTGCAAGATACCAAAAGCAACTGTCAGAAGAGCTTACTGAGGATGCACCTTCAACTGGTCAAGAAACTTCAAGAACCGCTGAAGTCAAAAACTAATACATTCAAACAATTAGAATACAAAATGTATATCTCCATAAAACACAGTTGATAAGTATGTGCCTGGCCAGGGACTTGCTACCAATATTAAAGAACAATATACCACGAATATCAGGGTTATTTTAATAAATAAGAGAATTAGGAAAAAGAACCAGAAGAAGAAAAACCTAATTCCAAAATAACAATATTCCAAATTTGCACAACTACAAAATCATTAACAACATCTAGTAATAACCAGCAATAATACCTGTCAGCTATCTCTCATGAACTAGCTTATCAAAGCTCATGACAGGGTTTTTATTCAGTAGTTAGATAATGAGGTATTTCATGTTACTATAAATTCACATACTCTTTTACAACATTAATAATATCTGTACATCACCACTTGGGGAAACTAGTGTTAGTATCATAATTTCTACAAATTTAAAATCAATGTGATCAGCTAGAAGGTGAGTTAGCATTTAAATGTAACTAAAAATTCACAGCTTAACTAAAGAGTAGAAGAAATAATAAAGGAACAGTAAACAAAACCATAATGAAATAAAAATAGAATTCGCTACCTCGCAACTTTTAATTAGCTTTAGGTTTTCTGTTACAAATTTGGTTTCAAAATTGTCAGGGTGGGACAATTTGTTATATCTGGAGTATGCATGAGGGTATTTTATCAAAAAAGGTATTCTAGTCTTGAAAAACCACTGAGAACATGTCACCTACATTCCTTCAATGAAAATTATGCTTATACCTAAAAGTATCTGGGATTTAAAGTGATGAAAAGCTCAACTAACAAGTGATGAGCTGGCCTAGTTTCCTAAGAATATTAATGGTTCAGACATAGCCATATAATAAGTCTTTCATAACTTTTGTCCGTAATAATTGGTACAGAAAGATCTGAGCAGAGGATTCTCTAATATCCAAATTGGACTGTGAGTACTGCTCACAATTTTAATTACAGTTGCAAATGCTAAGTGACCCTTCAGTAAACTATTTTTGATAAAAAATTTCCCATGCTCAACAATCTCACAGGCTGTACTGTCAACCAAAAACATACTTGTAAGACAAGTAAATTTTTCTGACCTGATCAAACCATTTGCTTGAATAAAGGTCTTTCAAGTAGACCTTTAAAACTGGTGAGATATAGTTTTTATTATTCTACAACATTTATAAACAACATGTTCATTTGTTTTATGAATTTCAGTTCAAATATATAAAATGAAAGATACAAATGCTCAATTGGTATGGATATACCAAATAACTGAAACTTGGCATATTTTTTGTTAATACCTTAATTACAAAACTCAGTCCATAATTTGGGAAGATTAATTTGTTTACATAGTAGCACAATGTTGTTTTCACATATAATTTGTACTCAGTGCATATGATCTCCATAAGGTGTGTGTGTGCTACGAGATATACTGATTATTATTATTATTATTTAAATTAACAATATAATTTAAAAAACAAAACTTAAATATAGCAGCTAATGGATTTTATCAGTTACTTTACTTTGCACGTTTTTTATGTCTTATATTTATTTGATCAACAATTATATATATATCATATAATTCTGGTGAACAGAAGTTAAGACTGATAGACAGTTTATTCCAACTACAGTGTCAGTCCTACTTTTGCAGTCACATTGAAAAACCAAGGGCACATTTTATATCCCACGTTATAGCCTGAACTCTGGTGATCCTCTTAATTTATTCAGCATCTTTAATGTAGTTTTTTGCTTTGTTTGGGCTTGTTTTGTTAATTAAAATGTTTTTCATCACAGGTTTGGACTTGTTGATGTTGACACAGCCTTTCTTTTTGATGATAATCTTTGCTTGACTGTTCAGTAGTAATTTTCTGTACATATATATATATACAAAAGAATATGCTTATTTTAGGGGGGAGTCTACTTTACACTTTTAAAACAGGTTTCAGTAAGTTCTAGCACTGGCCCTGGTTTTATTATAACTTATTCAAAATCATACCCAATACTAGATTAATTCATTAAAAATAAGTGCAATAAATACAAGAAGTAACTATGTCCCAATAGGTTAGAAAAAATTATTTATAATATATAATGACTTCATTTACTTACAGTAAAAAATTATAAAAAGCAACCTAAGGTTTCAAGTCTCCCATGTTTTCTCTATGTAGATCTCACCTTCCAAAATATTCTCCACAAATATGAACTACTCCATCATGTAGTTCTCCCATTGCTTCTACAACATTATTCTTTACTTCAAGGGAACATGCCATTTCAAACTCTGACAAAAAGTTCTGGGCAACAGCAACCAAGGCATCCTTAGGCCATCGACTAAACCAATCCATTGTACAACCCGAGATTAAACCAGGGAATTTTAGAGCTCTATTCCTGAACTTATCACCAACCTTAAAAAAAATATATATATATATATATATAGACATACTCACACATAACACAAGCGTAATGCATAGTAGCTTTTACACCATTTCAGTTAGTGGAAAATATGAATATGATGTTTATTTACTACACCAGGGTTTCCCATACTGGGTCTGTAAACTCATAGGGGTCTTAGCAAATACAAATAATGTTAAGGTACTCAGTAACTATAGGTTTATTGGGTGGAGCGTCTCAGTTAGGATGCAAATTGTTCAGTGGGCCTTGTGCTGAGAAAATATGGGGACCCTTTTAGTAAATCATAATAATATTTTTACTTAAAACTATGTAAAATGAAAATGAAATTTCAAGTACTCAATGAAGCAAGTTAATCTAGTTCTAATAAATTACTTTAAAAAAATGTTAAAATTAAGTGAGATAAGAAAAGTCAATACATATTTGTAAGTGTAGCATACTTAAAAGTTTTCATTTCAATGTTTTTTTCAAGAAAACATATATACCAAGTTAGGCAATAATATTATTGAATCATACATGTAGATTTTGATAATATGAAACTAGCTCTTTATTAGTATCTGTTAATCTTGCAACTCTAATGATAGTTTAATTTAGCAGGTTATTCATAAAATGTTAAACCTTTTATTGTACAACTAGAAAGAAATGTCATCAGAATCTTATATGCTTGTTCTTTGTTTTAAAAGAAATGGAAATCAACAGGCAAAATGCATCTTCTAAATTTTAAAAGATGTGTCAAAGAACAAAAAACCTGATCAAGATATATGCAACACATACTGGTGAGAAACAAAGCACTACATGAAGATTGTTACGAGCTCTAGAAAGGAAATAGTCATAAAGATTTTCTTGAGTTGGTGCCCATTTTGGAAGTTCTTTTTTCATAGGTTGAACAAGATTTTGGCATATTTCCTCTAACTCATCTCTAGCAAAAAGATTAGCAACCTGGATAATGAAAAAGGCAATGAAATATGTATAGTTTAAATACTAAAATGTGCATAATAAAAACTGAAAATATTATTTGTAGCATGAACTTCAATCATGATAAAATTAATCACAACACTGAACTCATTTAAAGCTCATAAACTACAGTTACAAAATATTAACCACACAATATTTAACAAAACCTTGTTTTTCTACTGAGCTTAATAAAGATGCTTTGTGTTGATAGTATGTTAGAATATTATTAATAATTAGAATGTACACCTGGTAAAAAAAGCAGCCTTTTGTGTACCTCATCAGTCCTTCCAGAAGCTTCATTCATGGTATCAATGTTTTTAATCTTGTTAGACATGTACAATATATACCAGTTTAATGGTAACAATTACTGTAAATTTGTAAATATTTTAATAACATACATGTTGATATTAGCACAAGCATAGAAAATTGATAGTACTGATTAACCAATTCATAAATATACCAACATCTATTAATGTTTGTTGAAATGGAAAAATACATTTTGATTTATATGATTATTCTGATCAACTATAATTTCAAATTAATTAAGTATCCAATACTAAAGCAGGTTGTCAAGCCATTTTGGACCCCAAAAATACAGGAAATTCCAAGAAGAAAATATAGGACAAATATAGGTTATTTCAATGGTTATTACTCAATTCATCATAAAGTCTATGTATCTGTGGTTCATCTAACTGGGATGACATTAAAAATTCTTCAAAAATGTGAACTGTGCTACCAGTGAAATGAAGTTGCACTAATGTTATTTGTCTACTAACAGATAATCCTATGAGCACTACTGTCCTTTTGAAAGTTGCACTTTTTGGTGCTTTAGCTTCTTTTTCCTTTCTGAAGGATTTCAATGTATTGAATGATTCCAGTCCACTGGCTAATAATATGCCTCGTACTTGTATGTTATCGGAACATTTGAACTTCTAAACCCAAATTCAGTTGTAAATTTCTATAATCTTCTTTCTAGCAGCTGAATACCTAAACAAACTATACAAATCAATGGTAAGCTACTCTAATTCATAACCATATTCTATAAGGTCTTTGGAAATTCCACTGTACATGACATAAATGTTGCAGATGCCAAATAAACAAAGCCAGGATGAACTGATGCCAATGCCTTTATCATTGACTGAAGCTCCCTCTATATAGTTTTTACATTTAGTCCATCATTTCCTAGTGTTACAAGTTTCCCTAAAGGCACGTCATCCTATCTATCTCAGTCAATCATTTATCCTGAAACTTACTTTTTAATTTAGGTATTTCCTTCTGTTTTTACATCAGACAATAATTAGAATGTAAAAGATATATATCAGCTATGCTGAAAAATCTTTATAACTGTTTTGAAGACTAGGAGGCTAACCAGGTTTATTAGAATCAGTGAAAAGTAAAAATACCACTAGGAAATAATTTTTTTAACTTTCAAAATCTTTTGTTTTTATAATGAAAATATCTTTATTTAGTAAAGTTAACTCAACCAGTCGTCATTAATCATTTTGACAGGCTCTCATTAAAATATGACTGAATTATATCAAGAAAAAATAAATTCACCTCAAAAGTTAACATTTTTCTTATACTGAAAAATGCATTTCTGATAGGTATTTATCCCCTTCTTTCTGTCGTCTAAGCATTGCTAAAAAGTTTTCATTCTCAGACCACCAATCTATATGCCCTATCAACTTCATACCATTTATAAATATGTAAATATCATGGGACTACTCTCCACCAATTGTATTGTACAACCTATATGGGTGCAGCTAGCTCCCTCTGCTACTCCTGCTCTATCCTCACTTTCAAAAATTGGTAGGCTCTAAAAGAAGAACACCGACAGTGGGGAGGAAGGATGGAAAGTGTGTGAGAAAAGGTAAATACCCATCAGAAATTGATTTTCAGTGTAAGAAAACTTTTGATAATACAGTCTAACCTCGGTTTAAACAAAGCTAAATTACCACATTGCAAAAATGGAAGGGCCAGTGTAGGTGCACAACATTGAAACCAAATGAAAAGCAACTGTCCAGAATGAATGGATGTGCTACATGATGAAAAGGAAGCATACTTGTAGGTTACCACACTACTTTTGGAAATGAATCTGATACAGGCAGAAAAATAGTATATGCACAAGTGCAATGTGTTCTGAGAGGTACAATCCATAGTAAAATACAAACCAAATTAGCTATATATATACACACTACCTCAACCGGAGAGGCAAGGTGCCATAACTCGTCCTTGGTACTAGGAGATTGAGGATCAAAAAACATAAAAACAAATATATTGTAACATAAAAATAGTGGCTAGGGCATGTGGACCATTTTACATATACTCATCATCCCCAACCATAAGTAAACAGTGTCATACATCGAACAACCAAAATTAAGAAGAAGTTAGCTTTCAGCTGAAATCTGATAAACTAACAAAACCACCATATGAGCAAGAAGTACAACAAACTATGCAGGGAAGAAACATCCTGCATCCATAATTATGAGGAGAACATGGAACATTCACTCAACCATAGGAACAGTGTAAGTACATTCTGTTGCCAGTATTGCGAGGCAGACAATATCCCCCAAACTCAAAAGCAGGAGCAGAGAAAGAACCTCCTGCAACTGGAATTAATGAGAAGAGGGACCTCTACTGCACACAACTGCAGGAATAAGGTGGTGTCACCTCAAACCTGGTAATATGAGGAGGATCCTGCATAGGCTGGACCCCTCCAACTAACAACTGTCCACCTGGGAAAAACATCCATGAAAAATGGAAGGAGAGAAACCAGCTTTGCCCTCTTCTCACTAAGTGTATAATCATGAGTATGTATGGTAAATTAAATGTTTAAACTTACTTAGGAGGAAGCCTCCATGGTCCACCACCCAAGAAACTGGGAGCTAGGAAGTAATGAGGACTCTCATGTTCCATTGGAAGAAAAAAAGGAGGGAAGGAAATGCAGTTGAGAGTCCTGAGGAATGTCATGCCAGAGAAAATGCAATGGGTGTTCACAATTTCCTATGCAGAAAAGCAAACCAACCCCAATTTATTCAATCAAAAGGTTGGCAGAGGTGGGCAGAAATCCCATTCTGCTTTACTCAGGAAGTCCATGAGTGATGGTCTACCATTGAGTGAAACTTATAAATATTTACAAACATATATATATATCACTTAGTATGCCACCAGTGGTCTTGCAGAACACCCCATTTCTACAATGAGCATTATAATGCAACAGTAAGTAGTGTGGGTTTGAGGCAAAGCATATCTGACCAGGTAACACCTGGCACAGAGTTGGATCCCATTATCAGTGGTAAAAATGAGGGATGCTGAAAATAAAAATAAAATAATGAGCAATGAAAATATTGCAAAAGAAAATGGCAATAGAGTTACAGGACGGCATTATGGCATTTCTGAAAGACTGGAGAAAACAAGAAGACACACTTTGTCTAACCAAAAAAATCTACGAAAACCAACAGAAGACACAAAGCCAGGTGGCCAGCCCTGGAGGGGAAAGTAGAAACATGAATTATGGAACAACATTCAGCAAAACCATGGAGTAAGCACCATTCAGATAAAGTTAAAGGCCATTGCCATAGGAAAGGAATTAGAGATCGTGGACTTCAATGGAGGACTACCCTGGTGTCTTCATTTTATGAAAAGGAAGGACCTGAAAATATGTACTAGAATAACAATATGCTAGTCCTTACAAGCAGATCATAAAGAAGAGCTCCCATCATTCAGAACATACTGCAAAGATAAGGTTTCAACATTAGTCCTGACCACATTATTAATATGGATGAAGTACCGTTAATATTCGACATGCCAGTGAACAGAACAGTAAAGAAGAAAGGCACATCAACTGTCAGCATTAGGACCACAGGCCATGAAACAGCCAGCTTTACTCTATTCCTTGCCGTTACTGTCATTGGAACCAAGTTACCACCTATGGTAATCTTCCAAAGGAAAACTATGCTAAAAGACATATTTCCCAAGAGTATTGTAGTCAAAGTCAATGAAAAAGGGTGGTTGGATAGCTTATTCCACCAAAATTGTGCACTATTGGTCACAGACAGTATGAAGGCCCCCCATCACTGAAGACATCAAGGATCTACTAAAGACCAAAACACAACACCTGCAATTATACCCGGTGGGCTTACCAAACATTTACAGCTGTTACACATCAGTGTTAATCATACTTTTAAAGCTGGAACGCGTACTCATTAGAAAGAATGGATGTCGACAGTGGAACATTAATTTACAAATACTGGCAGACTCAAAAGAGCTACACTAACTTATGTTACCACCTGGATAATAGAGTCATGGAAGGTTGTTAGTGTATCATGCACCTTGAATGGGTTCAGGATGGCAGAAATATTTTCTTATGTCAGTGAAGAAAAAGACTACTCTTCAGATGAAGACAATGACATACCAGTAGCCAGAACTCTACCAACAGCCATTGCAAAACTGTTCCATTCAAATTCAGAAAGTGAGTACTTTGATGGGTTTAATGACAATGTCAGTGGTAGGTCCATGTACTTTTTATAAAACTGATTCATATGAACTTTTGATTTTGGTCTTTTTGAAGTAGTGCAGTTAAGTTTCTAGTGCTGATAACATGGTAACTGTAACAGTGGATATCATTGTTTTATCTATTACCCATTTAAATATGATTGTTATTATAATAAATATTGAATTTTATTTTGTATTTTATTTCCATTATAAAAATGGTGATGACAATCACTTCACCATAAAAAAAGTCATAAATAAGTCGCACATAACATTATTTGGGAAAAAAAATAGCAACTTGCGAAAAGGAAAATACAGTAGTTCAAATTTCAGCCTGAACCACCTTGTCTAAAGAACAGTAAAGACAGGGAACCAAAAACATGGCAATATGACAAATTTGAAGAGAAAAAACATTGTGTAGATGGTAACCTTCCAAGGAAAAGTCTGAATACACCAGCCTAATGAGTTGATGAACCCAACCAGTTAGTGTGACTGTGGATATATCATGGAAAATGGAAGGGTTCCAGGGAATAAAACATCAGGAATGTGAATCCAGAAAGGAAGCAGGACATGCTACTTACCACTATAGGGAGTGAATAAAACAAAGAAGCTGATCAGGATCAGAATGGGAGTACAGGTGGGAAAAGGAATGTACAGAAATGGGTGTGAAAGCCAAACCACCTTCATGGACAGCATAGGTCTTAAGGAGGAAGTACTGTTCAGGTTATAGGATGAGATAAAAGGAATGGTAGAGGATGTGGGTAACATTAATGGTATAAATATTAGATCAACAATGTCTGCATGCAAGGAGGAGAAGGAAATAGGTCTTGGGGGAAAGATGGTACGTGGAACACATAGACAAAGGTTAAAAGGAAGAATGGGAAAGTGCATAAAGGACTAAATTGAGATCTCAGTCAAGAAAATAAAAGGAGGATTGAGGGACCACTTCGTGGGGTTAATCTTGTGGGTATGAGATAATCGATCCACAACCAAATTCATGGCACCATAAAAATGGCAAGCTAAGACCATGATGTGGTGAATGTGGGCCAAGAAAAGGTAAACCAAGGTCTGCTGAAAGCACAGATACCTGAATTTGGTACCCCCTTACTTGGTGACATAAGTGACCATAGTGGAATTATCAGTGTGTACCATAACCACCCTCCCATGCAGGAGAGGAAGGAAGAGGGACAAAGCTCAACAAACCACCATAAGTTCATGAATGTTGATAGGGAGAGAAGATTCGTCAACCAAACAGAGATCAGAAAATTTCTGAGATCTAGGAAAGCACTCTAACCCTCTAAAGATGCATCTGTGACCAGGTTTAAATCTGTATGAGATGGAGGAAGCAGAACCTCTACCATGGTCTGGTCCTTGTTGAGCTACAAGCCGGGTCGGCTCTGATTGTGGAAGGATGGGTAACATGGTGGTCCAAGGTATCCAAGAAGAAGTTCCACTGATCAAAGAGTGTCCACTGAAGTGAATGTATATGAGCTTGACCCATGGGAATGAAAGCTCGCTCCGTATTCTGAAGATGAAGAGAAGAAGGCTGAGTGCAACTGAGGTTGAATTTGAAGAAAAACCCCAACTGAACAAGGTACTGAGTGGGGGGTAAGAATAGACTTCTCTGTCTTTACCAGAAAACCCACCAGTGCTGCTACTTGTAGACAAGTGTGGTGTTTGTACTGTGAATGGGAAGAAGCAAACAGGAGCCAGACATCCATGTAATGATTAGTTTGAAGACCCATCAAGTGAAGGTGTTGGGCAAAAGTGTGTACCATCCAACAAATGTACTGAGCCAAGGTTATTCTGAACAGCAGGCCCCTGAACTGGAACACCCAACCTTCATGGACAAACCAAAGAAAATGACGTGATTCGGAAGCAATAGGATTATGAAGATAGGTGTCTGTCATGTCAAACTTGGTCATCCAGAATTCCAGGGAAATTACCCACTGAAGTGAGAGATAGGATTCCTTAGTGAAATGAGGGGAGTCAGAAATGAATTCAACTGGGACAGATTAATGACAGGTCTCTCTTGGGGACCATGAAGAGATGCGAATAAATGCCCAGTTGAATGGGGCATACCTACTTGATAGCTTCTTTGTGAAGCAAGTCATGGACATTCTCGGTAAGATGCTTCAGAGAGATGTAGGATCCAGAGGAGGTGAGAAGGAAATAAGGGAATGGAAAAGGGAAGGTGGAGACTGGAACTGAAGGAATAGACCTTCTGACAGAACCCACGAATATGTAGTGAAATGCCACCACATGGCTGACAAGTGGAGCATTCTGGCCTCCACCAGTCTAGGAACCTCCACCACATCACCTATAATGCTGGCATCATTCAGAATGGGTGCAGGAAAATGAGGGTAGCAACAGGAGCACTGGGAGAAAGGCAAGGGTCTGGGTGAGGAAAAAGGAGGCTGGGAAACAAGGACAGGAGGAAGCAGGAGGGTGAGATAAATGTGTCACCAGAGAAGACAAGGATGAATGCAATCTAGTCACACCAGGCCTAGCTTTCAAGAAATCAGGACGACCTCCAAATATAGTATTGCATAGCAAAGGGGCCTGACATAGATCTCACATGGATGAATGTGGGAGATGTACCCCTGTAAGTAAAGCATCCCTCCCCAATAAGTCCTAACAACACAGGAGCCAGGCATTTAGAGAAAAAGTAGAGGCTAATAAACAAGCCATAGTGGACCAAAGGTGGGACCTGAGCCCCTCTGAAAAAATTCAAGGGAGTGATGAAAGGCTTCAGACAATAGTGTCAAAGGGAGGAGATGGAAAGGTGAATCCTTGAGAATTAAGCCTGATTAAAATGAGCCAAAACCCCATGACTCAAACCCCAAAGGGTGAGAAGAGCATCTAATTGCTGAGAATCCAAATAAGGATCAGAAGCACAATGATATGCCAAAGCATATTGGTCAAACAAACATGGGGGATGAGACATACCAACACGTAACAGAAGTCAGTCCAAAAAGCTCTGAGCATGAACTCGTATATCGGGTGAAAGGGGGGGAATCACAAACTTCAGAATGTGGAATATCACTGAAAAAAGGTAGGGGAGGTAAGCAATAGGGAAAACATGTAAAATACTATATACCTGATTAACTAGATGTAACAAAAAGGATGGTGGGAGGTGAAATCTCCTAAATAGTGTAGATTGTGACTGACCAAAATAAGGTGTTGAAAAAAAAAAAGAGTCAACATTTTCTTTCCCATGATGGTATTCTTCCTCAGAAACATGGTTAGGTTGGAAAGAAGAATAAATCGCTGGTCCTGGGAAGTCAAAAGTGAGAATTGAGCAGGAATAGCAGAGGTGGTGCAATACTATTGGTGGAGAGTAGTCACATGATATGTACATGTTCAAAAATGTCGCTGAACTGATGGGGTATATAGACTGCTGCACTGAGCATGAAATTGTTTTAGTAATACTTAGAAGGTAGAAAGAAAATTGAGATACTTTTGCATGAGAGGAGGTAATATCATATCAGAAATTATTATTAAGTATTTATGTTTTCTGAAAGACTTATATATTATGTATTTTAAGAAGTAGTACAATGATATATTTTCAGCTTTATTAAAGCTGCAATTATGTGTATAATTGTATATGTATGACTTCTGAACTATTTTACTACCAATGTTGATATGTACTTACAAGAACATTGTATGATAATAATGTAGCTTAATTATTCATCTCAATAACTTAATTGTAACAATCAGATGTTATGATATTCTTCGAATCAAATAAAAAGAGTATTCATGTCAATATAATCATGTGAATGCTAATGTTGCTATGTATATATTGCTGAATACTATAGAAGCATTAGCATGGATACATTACATAATTTCAAATACACAAATAATATATATATATATATATATATACTTTTAATAAAGGATGTTAATTTTCTATTTATTTTACTTGCTTATTTATTTTTTATTGATGTCAGAAAAATATAGGACACCCCCTACAAATACAAGACATCCTTATATCCTGCTAAAGCTATAAACATTCCATATGTGCCAGTGTTGGTTTACATATATATAAAGTTGGAAAACAAATTATATAGAATTAAAATCAATGCAATTAAGTGTAGTTACTGGTAATACAATGAGATAAAAATTTTCCTATTGGACACTTAACTATCACTGATCAGAGTCAAGTACAAACACCTCCAAAAATATGACACAGACCTCACCAGAGCTGAGAATATTATTCAAATACTCTAGAAAGGCTTCATCCTTAATGTCATTATCTGTGAAAATAAAGGTTATTCCTTTTCCTTCTCCACCAGCCACACGGTAGAGATATTTCAAGTCATCCAAAAGATTTCCAATACCATAGGATCTGAAATGTGGAAGTACAAGAACGTTGAAAAAATTTATAATCTCATTAACATCCAATTACTCTAAAGTTATAAATTTCCTATACTGAAAATGTATTTCCGATAAGTACTTACCTTCCCTCATACAAATAGTTATTCTCGTTCAGTGCTGCCCCCTATATGCAAAACAAGCCTTGAATCATCTTCCACATCTGGAATTGACTGATTCCAATGTGTCTCACATGCAAATCATCATGCAACAACCCTCCACCAATAAGATTGCGACATACTCTTGATGCATGTGACTCCCTCTGTTCAATTCTACTTTGTGTTTTCACAGAAAATGGAAGCACTGGTTTTCATGGGGAGGAAGTGTGACAGGAGGTAAGTACCTATCATAAATACATTTTCAGTATCAGAAAATTACAACTTGTGTTAACGTACATTACCTCCTCTCACATAAATAGCTAGAATCTGACATTGAACAGCTAGAGGGACTGGTGTGAGGGAAAGAAAGAAGCATCCTTTGATAGCATCCAAAGGACACTCCCAAAGAGATTTTTGGAGTCGAAGAAAGAAAGAAGCATCCTTTGATAGCATCCAAAGGACACTCCCAAAGAGGAGATTTTTGGAGACGAAGATCATATGTGGGAGACGACACCACTTCTGTACCAGAAATAGGAAGTAGCACATCTAATAGGGAGAGAACTATGGTTGGATAAGGATCACAACTACATGATATATGAATCTCAATCCCATAATACATATATGTGGGTGAGAGTAAAAGGATGTGCCTCCAGGTGTAGAGTGGTAAGGGTGAGACAGACCATATATGGCAAGTCAATTACAATCCAAAACCCAGCCACTTGGAAATGACATCCATGTGGGGATAGGAAAGAAGATCATACCACTGGAAAGTCAACTACAATCCAAAACCCATTCCACCAGGAACTGACATCCATATGGTGGTAGGAAAGAAGATCATATCAGCAGCAAGTCAACTACAATCCAAAAACCAGCCATCTGGTGGGGGTAGGAAAGAGGACCATACTGTCTTCACTTCAAGATTATGAGACCAGAGGGAATCTTGTAACCCCAACCCATAAATGGGGCTTAGGATAACAATGTGAGAAATTGTTTGAACAATCTGGGAACCCAAAAACTGGCATCAAAAAGATGTCCGTGTAATGTAAACTATCTCACTCAAATTTAAAATGACAGGAACCACCCCAAGCACAATACCATCCTTGGAATAATAAGAACATAGAGGGATAGTGGAAGGGGAAGAACCATGGTAACCTGCAAGCACCTCTATCATGACCCACAACACATATGTAGTAACAAGAGTATAAATGAGTGAGGTCATCTATAATACATGTGAGAGGACTTATGTTGATTGGTTCAGCTCCAAATCCAAAACTTAGCCACTGGGAACCAACATCCACATGGAACAGGAAAACATATCGAACTGGAAAATCCAACTACCTAAGCTGTCAGTGTAGGATGAAGGATCTCAATAGAAGGGATGAATTGCAATTTTGATGGCTCACTCCAATATTATAAAATGGAGAATATTTCGTCATCTATACCAGCAGAACACTTCCACCCTACTCTCAACTGAATGGTTTTATAATTATAACCTATTTGTATGGAAGAAAAACAATATATACACCTGGAAAAAGTTAAGCACCCCCAAATATTTTTCAGGATTGCTTATT